CTTTTTCTAAAATAAATAAAAAAAATTAAATTATTTCCAAAAAAAATGAGACTAGTATTCGAATATACTAATATTAGTATTATTTTATCAAATATTAATATATTCTTAATAGAAATTTAAGAATTCTTTCTATTCTATTACTAATACTACTAGTAATATTTAGTAATAGTATTAGTAATGAGAGATATTGGATACTAAATATTATTAGTATCCGTAGAAATATTAGGGCTATACGGACTCGAACCGTAGACCTTCTCGGTAAAACAGATCAAACTGATTATTATCGAAATGATTTGAATTGTTTTAAAAACCCAACGTGCATTTTTTTCTTGCATTGGGCTTTTTCATTAACTGATAGAAATAACAGTTAGTCCACTATCTTTTTTCTTGACAGAAAGAATAAAGATATGATTCCTTGTGCTCTGATTTTTGATTTGGATTACAATCTAAGAGCACTACCAAAGTGTTTCAAAGAAGGGTTATCCTGACATAGGTCTGCTTCTAGCCTAGATCAACTTAAGTTAAATGGATTCTCTATCTACCCACTAAAATGAAAATATCAAATAGGAAATGAAACTTCATACACCTTAAAGTTCATAAGATAGGAACAAAGGATAATTTTATTTGAGGTTCCTATACCCATTATGCTTAGCATTGAAGAGGAGTGAGTATTGACCTTATCAATATCTCAAATCAATAATGGATTCTATTTTACGTCTAAATCCTTTGTCAGGCTTTTGTTCTCTTGTTCCTTAAAATGGAGTAAGACATGGATTTATTAATAATAAGATAAACTCTTTTGATTACAAGACGGACTCCTCTGAAAAAAAACATTGGCGCGCGTGTAAACGAGGTGCTCTACCTAACTGAGCTATAGCCCTTGTGCTTTTAATACATATTTTATCATATTATGTAGATAATTTCTTGTCAAGATGAATATTACATGATCCAATCCCTTTGATATTGCGTTGGTATTGCTTATAAGTAATATTCGATTTATAATCTATTGATCTGATCGATAGAGACTCTTTTTTTTTTTTTCTATTTGGGGTGATAAATGACCTACTTAACTCAGTGGTTAGAGTATTGCTTTCATACGGCGGGAGTCATTGGTTCAAATCCAATAGTAGGTAAGGTATAGTTAGAACTTATTAGATACCAGAGTCAATGGTATCTAATAAGTTGTTCTATTCACCTTTTTTCTATCTTTTCTTACTGTTTTATTGAATTTTTATTTATTTCTTTTTTTAGAATTATTCGGACGTACCAACTTGTTACGAAATCATATTGATAGCCTCTACTCGTGTTCTAGCTCGTCTGAGAGCTAGATTTGCCTCAATTGTTTGTCTCTTGCCTTCAGCCTTATTCAAATTAGCTTCTGCTATTTCAAGAGTTTGCTGTGCTTCTTGTGGATCAATGTCACTACCCTTCTCCGCATCATTTACTAAGACAGTGATCTCATTATTGCCTATTCTAGCAAAACCGCCCATGAGAGCCATCGTTAACCATTGGTCGTTAAGGCGTATTCTCAAAATACCTATATCTACAGCTGTGGCAATAGGCGCATGATTTGGTAATACTCCAATTTGTCCGCTATTCGTAGATAAAATGATTTCCTTCACTTCTGAATCCCAAACAATTCGATTGGGGGTCAGTACACAAAGATTTAAAGTCATTTCTTCAATTTGCTCTCCATTTCTAAATTCACAGCCTTCGCAGTAGCTTCATCGATATTACCCACTAAATAAAAGGCTTGTTCAGGAAGACCATCTAATTCTCCAGAAAGAATCAATTTAAACCCTCTAATTGTTTCTGCTAGACCAACATATTTCCCCGGCGAACCGGTAAATACTTCTGCTACGAAAAAGGGCTGTGATAAGAAACGTTCAATTTTTCGTGCTCTTGCTACGGTTAAACGATCCTCCTCGGATAATTCATCCAACCCAAGGATAGCTATAATGTCCTGAAGTTCTTTGTAACGTTGTAAAGTTTGTTTAACTCTTTGTGCAGTTTCATAATGTTCTTCACCAACGATCCGAGGTTGGAGCATAGTTGACGTTGAATCTAAAGGATCCACTGCTGGATAGATACCTTTGGCCGCTAATCCTCTTGATAGTACAGTAGTAGCATCTAAATGTGCAAATGTCGTGGCAGGAGCAGGATCGGTCAAATCGTCTGCAGGTACATAAACTGCTTGAATAGAAGTTATGGACCCTTCTTTGGTAGAAGTAATTCTTTCTTGTAAAGAACCCATTTCAGTACTAAGGGTGGGTTGATAACCCACAGCAGAGGGCATTCGACCCAATAAGGCAGATACTTCAGATCCTGCTTGGACGAAGCGGAAGATATTGTCAATAAATAGAAGTACGTCTTGCTCATTGACATCTCGAAAATATTCCGCCATAGTTAGGGCAGTTAAACCAACTCTCATACGAGCTCCGGGCGGTTCGTTCATTTGACCGTATACTAGAGCTACTTTTGATTCTGCAATATTTTGTTC